ACCAGCCCCCGCCCTCCCTCGAGGCCCGCGACGAACGCGGCCATGATCCCACCGTCGCCGACGTCGCGTTGGCCGCAGCCAAGCTCCGGGGCCCCGACCAGCGCCGCTGGTTCGCCCGCCAGATCATGCTCCCCGAGTGGATGGTCGACGCCCCTCCCCACCTCGCCCGCGACTGGTAATTCCCCATCTCCCCCCTCGTCTCGATTTCATTCGATTCGGCTCTAGTCCCCTCCAAAGATGACTCTTTGATTATGGATAGCAACACACATACCCTTGCTAGTTCATCCTCACCCTACTGTAGCAATATGCCAATATTTGTGCATCTTCTAGCTAGCTTACAATTAATACACCTTACTTTAGCCGACTGTTGTGAAATAGCACTAGCATTAGACTGACAAGTCATGTTATTACAGATGAAGAAGGATTGACATTGTTTCAACAATTTTTCTGTATATGCAGGCATGTTTCTGCCAGACCTGCTGGCAAACGATGCATGGTCGTGTCGTCGAACGGCATCACGATTAGCAGGCTCCGTAACGGAACGATTCTTCACCGGTTCCCCTCCGCCTTGCCCAACGGGTCAAAGAAAGGGCTCTCTGGCCCTGCAAGCTCCTACTCTATCCTCGACTGCATATTCCATGAGGTAACCAAGCGAACAATTTTTATTTGATGCCACTGGTTGCTGGATTAATTTACTTGCTTGCTTTCGGGCCTGTTTCTAATCTTTGTGGCGCATCTTGTGTTGTTGTGCTGCAGCCTGATGAGACGTACTACATCGTTGATATGATTTGTTGGCGAGGCTATTCGCTGTATGACTGCACTGCCGAGTTCAGATTTTTCTGGGTGAACTCCAAGCTTACGGAGACTTCTGCTGGTGATCCTCCATCGGCATACCATCGGTATAGATTCAGTGTTGTCCCTATGTATGAGTCCACGCTTGATGGCCTTCAAACAGCATATTCGGGAAGCACACCTTATGTTAAAGATGGCTTGCTGTTCTATAACAGGTAACTTCTGTTTCCATACCTTTACTGTAAGATGTTCACTCCGTTTTATAATTTAGAGCATTGAATTGACCGATCTAGGTGATTTTGTTCTCTTATCAGGCATGCACATTATCAAGCTGGAATCACACCCCTTACATTAGTATGGAAAGACAATACCTGCAGCCAATACCTTCTTGATACAGATAGCGAGGGACAAGTTCCAACTGAGCAACACGTAAGTTTTTTTCTCTATTATTTGATTCATGTTGTAGCGACTATAGATTACTCTTTTGTTAAAAATATGAATTTTTTTGGTAATTTTTGTGCCTGCTACCGCTTCACTTCATCCCTTAATAGTTTTACTGACCTTCCTTTGTCCTGTGCTATCAGGTTGTGTTGGAGCTGCAAGAGGATGGAAAGCTAGTTACTTCTGATGATCCTCCAATTGCATTTGGTAGCTTGGACAACGAATTTATCCAGAAGGTACGATTTCAAAATGCAGCTTATTTCCACAAAATATGAGTAAATTAGCATGCAGGATTTGAGTCGTGGTGTTTCCCTCCCTGTTAGGTGCAAATAAACTTCAATTCTTCAAATGTGTCGCCACATGGCCTACCATGTAGAGCCTTAGAGCATCATCTTATAGCTGATTATTATCATCTGGTTCATGTCCATGCTCGTTCCTTAATTCTGTGGTGACACACTTAGGTTTGACAGATTGATTTTTTGGCCGTCACATGCTCTTTCTCATTTTACATGCCTTCCTGTACAGTGATGCCTGTCTGTATCCCACTTCTGAATATGTTTTAAGCACAAACATACTAATGTGATCGTGCTTTTTGTGCAGTCAAACCTGCGGCCAGGGAACCTTCTTCGCTTCAGTGTAAGAGATGAAAGTGTGAAACTTGTGGATGGAAAGATGGAGATTGGTGAGCTGCAACTTGCCGGAAAGTTGAACCGCTCTCGTACTTTTGCTGACAGCCACTCCAAAGTAAGTGACGACATGACCATGCACTGTTTCAATCAATGTTCCTGTACCCACCACATGTAGCTAACTTGTTGATTTTGTGTGTTTCAGGTTTTGTTCCAGTATGCTGCCAGGCATGCGCCTCTGAGAATTGAGGATCTGGTAGCTTCTGTTCAATCAAACAGTATGGAGATTGAATCCACAGATATTGAAATGCAAGGTTGAGGTGAGGGAGCATGGATTGCTATCTCATGTTTTTGCCACACGGTGGATTCTTGTGCTGCTGATTAGTTGCCCTTTTTCTGCAATTTATGTGTGTTTACCTTTTTGTACATTTGTAATGGCAGTCATTCAAGGCTGAGGAAATACATGTGCCAGTTTTTGCGTTTGACTGGATACCATGTTATGTTGAAGTAGATGCAAAACGAGAACAAGGTTCGTCTCACTCTCTTATTAATGCGTGGTGTTGAACCAGACACTTGTAAAATCACTCAATACCTTATATTTCATGGACGAATTTCAGTACCAGGGTTTTGATAAAATACCCACATGTGTTTGCTTTTAGGAAACCTGCTGATAGCGAGTCATGGTTTTACACAAGGGCTTGAGACAATTGTACCGACTCTTGTGGTTGCAACTTAATGAGTTGCAACTGCTCTAGTGTACACGGTAAAAAAAAGAGAGCTTTGAGATCAGATGGTTTCCCTTTATAAATGATACTCTTGTGCACATATGGCAGGGGTGAGCTGTCTGTGGCATTCAGGTGGCGATTTGAGCAAACGACGTGATGGTCTGGAAGCCGTGATCCTCAGGAAGCGGCGCGTTTCCAGGCCTGATCGATATTAGCACCTCAAGACCTGCAAAACCAGTAGATGAATGAAGCCACCTGTGAGTATGTGAAAGACAAGCACTATGGATCTACGAACGCAGCTTATTTTATGAAGCGCTGCTTGTTTATCCCGAGTCTCAAACATATATTACTGGCTGCTTTTGATAGCGTGAGTGTGGAGGTTTTTTGAACGAAATGCCGTGTTCTATTCAGTTATATATAAGATGCTGTTTGAGAATTGATGAGTGAAATTAAAACAAGGGATGGAATGGTGTGATCAGTGTGGTTTCTGCTGACCTGCATCCCTTGCGGCGGTGGCTTCTTGGTAGACATCGGTCAGGAAGAGTATCTGGGACGGGCTGTCGACGCCGAGAGTCTGCCAGATCTCGTAGTAACTGCGAGACTCTTTCTTGCCACTGCAACCTCAGCATCCATGGCATCAGGGTTCAAATGCAGATGAAGTGGAATGTACGATGATGTTACATTGCTACCGTATGCGTACCCGACGTTGGTGTCGAAGAAGGCGGAGAGGTATCGCCGGAGGTCACCGTGGGCGGCGGTGTTGCCGAAGATGAGCCGCTGCGCCTCCCTGCTGCCACTGGAGTAGATGTAGCTCTTGATGCCATTCGCGTCCCACTCCGCGAGAGCTTGGACGACGTCGTCGTAGACTTCCCCCTTGATCTCGCCGCTCTCGAAGCCCCGCCGCCACACGCGGCCCTGCAGCTGCTTGAGCGCCGTGAGCTTCCGGTCCGCGTCGATCATGGCCTGCACGTTGGCCACCAGGCCATCGATGGTCTTGTCCTGGTCGATGTCGTCGGGCGGTGGGAGTGCGACGGCGCCGGTGACCCCCTCTGCCAGATCCTCGTCGATTTGTGCGCGGAGTAGGGCGACATCTTCCCGGGTCTGCTGGGTGTGGTATGTGGCAGCGAGGTGGGCGCGGGCGTTGGCGCGCGCGTAGGGGAAGAGCACGTCGGCGACGAAGGAGATGGGGGTGGTGGTGCCCTCGATGTCCATCACCACACAACGCTGCATGCAGAGGCAGACGAACATACATACTCTCACCATTAACTCAGCTACACGTGGTACAATAGATTCAGTTAATTTGGTGATAGCTTAGGTAGGCCGTCCCTGAAGGAACAGAGTGTGGTAGGGAGGGAGGGGGCACGCACTATATCTTTTGCTGTTAGGCAGTAGTTGCTGTCAGCAGCAGCAGCAGCAGCTGCTGCTGCTGCAACGACGACTGTTCTGCCGCCGGCGGGTGCTCGTCGGAAGCAATGATGCGACGGAGGAGGGGCCAACGACGAGCGTAGGAGGAGGGGATTCGATCCATACCGCAACCCCACCTTGCTCACGCCCTGAATTAAGCTCTGAATTGCAAGGTTGATTGGTTCAGTTCAACAGGCTAGGCAAGAGGAGAGATCACTGGAATATAAGTACATCTTACCTACCCTGCAGCCGGAGCTGGAGGTGTGGTGGGTGTGGTGATGTGGGACGATAGAAGCATCTCGGAGGAAGGAGCGGCCGGAGCCGGAGAAGAAGCCGGCGGAGGCGGTGGATGCAGAGGAGGAGGCAACAAGAGGAAGAAGCATCTCGCCGCCGCTGCTGGTTCTGGTTGGCACTGCGTCGTTATCCCCTAACTCTTTGCTTGGGTCTGGATGGATGGTGGATGGATCATGGATGTGGGGAACTTAATAGGGATAGCTCGTTTTCTTGGTCACTGTCTTTTGTTTTCTTTTTCAATCCTTTTGTTTTTCTTCTAGACGGTACCGGTTGTCCAGAGATGTTTTCGCTAATCCTTCCAAAGCTATATCAAGGCCAAAACCAACCAAAGTAACTACAAAAACAGTTTTGCTAAAGCACATCTAGATGTGCCATAAGTATTGCACATCTAAGTCCTATGTCATTGAGCTTACATCGAGATTCGTGTGGATATTTTTTTCTTTTTTTTTCTTTTCCTCTTTGTGCTTGATTCACTCACTTAGATGTGCAATAACTAGGGCACATCTAGATGTGCCCTACAAAAATAAAGACTTCAAACCCACAAGATATCGAAACCAAGTCATGGTCACCCGCATTAAAAAAAAGAAAAAGAAAAAAAAGAAACCAAGTCATGGTACAAAAATAAATTACTCACAGATTCACTCTGACATTCTACCAGGAGTCAACAATGCCCAGCTTACAAAAAAGATAAAAGAGATCAGCGCACAGCTTGTGTGTATTACAAGAGTGGATAGACTGCAATGTATAAATGGTTATTCAAAGGCACATATAAAACATTTACACCCAATCTACTTCAGTTGCATGTATGTATTGATGTATATATACACCCTATTCAACAACACACAACTTGCAAAAAAGATAAAAGAAATCAGCGCACAGCTTGTGTGTAATACAATAGTGAATAGACTGCAACGTATAAATGGTTATTCAAAAGGTTTAAAACATTTACTGCACCCAATCTACCTTCAGTTGCATGTATTGGTGTGTGTGTGTGTGTGTGTGTGTGTATATATATATATATATATATACACTCTACTCAGCTCTACTGCTTCCTTAGTTTTGTACCACCACCACCACCACTCCAAAGCTAGCTTCTATTTCAATCCATTTCATACACAGATTGACTGGCTACCGTAACATTTTTTGCAACAGGGTCCTGTACTCCTGGCTCCGCGACCACTCGTCCATCTCGCGGGCTCGCATCACGGGCAGAGGGTGCGACAGCTCCCTCGTCTGAGCGTTCCTGCAACACACAAGCACAACACATTGTTCATCATCACAACAGTCTCACAATGTCAGTTAAGATGCAGCCTAACAAGTTCACAGGTTCATGCAGAATTAAACTGACCGGATGTACCACCCGACCGGGTTGGACGAGGCCTTGTCGTAGGAGCGGGCTTGCTCCAGGAAGGCGTTCACGTTGAGCTGGTCCGACAGGGACGGGCATCCTCCCGCGAGCTTCATCAGGACTGAGATGACAACCTCTTGACAGTAATGTAAACATGGGCGTATCAGATTCAGAGTCAGATTAGATGATGGATGTTGTTAAAACAGTTTACATGAATCAGTGATTATTATCAACTTATAGAAGAAGAAAAGAACTACTCCCTCCATTCCTAAATATTTGTCTTTCTAGGCATTTCAACAAGTGACTACATACGGAGCAAAATGAGTGAATCTACACTCTAAAATATGTCTACATACATCCGTATGTAGTAGTCATTTGAAATGTCTAGAAAGACAAATATTTAGGAATGGAGGGAGTAGTTTGCTAGAAAATGGTACCTTGGGGTCCTGTACCACGAGAAGAGCCGCCCTGTCGCAGGTCAGCTCCGCGGCTCGCAGCCACCTGAACAGCTGTTCTTCAAGGAACCCGGCAACCATACCCAAACCTGAAGGGAGTGAACACATGCAGTTACCATCAGATGAATCGCATAGCAGCCTGCCAATTACATGACATTGTGTGGAATAAGAAAGATAGAGGGCCTACCAGGGACAGTGTATGCCCCCATTGTTAGTATGTTGGCAAAGGTAAGCCAGACTCCATGATCGCACTTGAGGTGACCCAGCTCATGTGCCAAAACAGCCTAACCAAAACACACAGCTCCACATGAGTAATTCGCATACATTCAGCGGTTACTAGTCATGTGTTAATAATTCACCAGCCTATTTGGATGGTCTTTTCTTACCTGCAATTCCTTTCTAGTGAGCAGCTCCACGAGGCTCGTGTGGACGACGACGAACGGCCTTTTCCCATTTATCGCCAAGGTGTAAGCGTTAGGGACAGGGTTTTGCCGTATGTAGAAGTCGGGTGCTTCCGTGTTCAGGATTTTCGCAGCTTCGGTCATAAGCTGGTGAAGTTCAGGCAACTAAAAGACAAACAACAGGTTGTGGATTCAGTCCGGGTGCACTAAAACATGGTGATTTTTAGAAATGGTACTGTAAGTTCTAAGATCTGACAGAGGGACCTGGTTTTCAGAGACGAGAACGGACGATCCGATGTTTTGAAGAACCATAACTTGCTCAGAAACCGGCCCTGCATCAGCAAAATAATGTTAGCTTCTGCAAGCAGATCATCTTGGGGTATGAAATGATAGGTGGAAAACAGAGAATTGGAGTACCTAGCAAAGCCTTGCCTATATCATTGAGCCCTGGAATTGCTTTGAGCAGCAAAGTGTTCTGCAAAACAAGAAGATGATTAGGGGCATGCATACCTATATCCGTATGAGAAGAACACCAAATCAAACAACACATAGAGAAAAAGAAAAGAAATATAAAGTACTCCATTCGATCCATATTAATTGTCGTTGATTTAGTACAAAGCTAGGAACTGACCTGCTTGTCGAGCGGGTGGCGGAAATCATCGGCGTCAAGGCCCTGGGTGACAGGGGCCGCAGGGGAGGCGCGGGCAGAGATGGCGCCGGAGCTAGTTCCGATGTTCCGGCAGCGGTGGCGCTGGTTGTAGGTGGCCGTGGAGGGGGGGGAGGAAGGCTTGGGGGTCCAGCACCGGCGACGGTGGATGGCCTGGCGAGGGAGCGTGGGGGAGAGGCAAGCCGCCATGACCACCACGGAACGGAGGTAGCAGTAACAAGTGGTAAAACGATGGAGCTGGAGCTGGAGGTGGTAAGAAAAGAAAAGAGGCGGTCATTTGTACGGCTGTCTTGTTCATCTTCTTCCTCCTCCACCTCGCTGTCGGCTGCTCCACAGACGTGTCCCGTCTCACACCGCTTTCCTGTCATGAAATTTCTAGCCCAAATGTTCTCTCAACCTCTAAATTTATTTCTTCCAAAAGAGAAAAGAAAAAACCTCTGAATTTATGGCCACGCTTGCTTGTGGCATCATGGACTAGCTACCACAGATATAAAGGGATTGGGTTGGGGGGGCGACAAGACAAGCTACTCCTCCCTATGTCTGTCTAACCAAAGGAGCTCACAGAGACACAGACCATGCCTCCATGGGCAAGCAACACCATTGATCTTGATAGTTGTTACAGCCTCACCCACTTCTACTTTACCTGCCACACCCAACAAAGAGCTCATTCTACCAAAACAGAGTACGTATGAGGAAGTTACGCCGGAAATGCCTAAGGCCTTGTTCGGTTGTGTGTGGATCTAAGTGGATTGAAGGGGTTTGAGGGGGATTTAAACCTCTTACAAGTCAAAATACGAACCAATCCTTGCAAATCCCCTCCAATCCTCTTGGGGAGAGGATTAACCGAACAAGTCCTAATGGAGCGCCTGGTAGGGGGCAGGGAGGCTGCTGTTCAAATACCGCATTTCTACGTCACAAAAACATTGATTTTCTTTTTCTGCATGAAATGCATATATACTACCAAATACACGCAAACTTTCGTAACATATTTCCGTACGTGGCGTACAAAAAAGAGAGAAATACATACATAAAAATGGACCCCTGGTTTTGTTGGGCCGGGATTTGGTTTCCTTTGAATATTGTTCCAAAATAATAAAGTATGGGATCCCTCAAAACGAAATACAACTCACAATGTTTTTGAACAACAAAATTATAAATCTGTAGTGAACATGTACTCCTACTATAACTTTTCAGTCTTTTTTACTTCTAAATACTGTTTTCTAAATTTCTAAAATAAAGGGCTCCAAGGAGCCAGGGGCTGAAAATTTGCACTCGAAGTTATGCCCATTTTAGTGAACACTGCTCAAGATTGATTCAAACCCGAGTTCAGAAATTACTTTGAGTCTAACTGGGTCAATTTTTTTTTACTTCCTTTTCTTTTCCGAATAAAAAATAGCTTCTGTGTGCATGAATAGCTACCACAAATATAAAGGGACTAGTTTGGTTGTCATATAGGTTGTTCTCGCCTAGTTGCATATCTAGAGAACTTATTTATCCGCACCCTCCGGCCGTTGCTCGTCCTCCATGGACCCGTGAGCGGTGAACTCGAGCTGCCGCTGCTCGTCCATCTCGTCCCTGGGGCCAAAAGGTAAATGATCCCATTCATTAAATTTCAGATGACCAACGTTGCAGCTTAACAACAACAGTCAAAATCTAAATTAACTGAAGCATTTAGTTCATAAAATCCAAGATTTAAAAAATGCATCTAAGCTACACCAATATGAGGTGCTCTATAACGTACAAAGAACGGCAAGAGATATATCCAGAAATAAAATAAGAATAACAAATTTCCTCACGGATACAATGGCCTTATAAACCTGAACAGTATGCCGCTGTGAAACCATTCTCATTGCAAAACTGCCAAAAACTAATAAGAAAACCCAACATTCTTTTTAAAGGGACCTGCTTATCCACTAACTATATGACTTGCAATCATGAGTGAAATACTCATGAATAAAGCTCAATCAAGTTCGTAGCTCACTGTGCCTCGTGCGATGATACCATTCACCAAGTTCCAAAGCACAAAAGTTGCCAAAGTAACACAAACATCAAGCTTCATACAAAAATTCCGAGACATGTGGAATATCAGTGTGGATATGGTGAAACACGTAACTAACTGACTGAAAGAAAGATCTATGCCATCGTTGTATGAACCTCTAGAACATTCAATTTTACCACAGTACAAAATAAAAACTCAGCAAGAAAGCATGATTTCAGT